GTGTGTGTGTGTGTGTGTGTGTGTGTGTGTGTGTGTCCCGTGGGGGGGGGTCAACTCAGGCAGCCAGTGATACCAACCATGTACAAAAAAAACACGGGATGGGGGGGTATTTTCTGTTCAGACACAGACATGCGCGGGTCAGTGTTTAGTGGGGGTATTTCCACCATATCTATAGAAAAGGGGTATCTTTTTACACTTGTGCTTCTTTCCGGGCTGGACTTGACTGACACACTGAATAAATCCCCCCTCCCTCCGGTTRGTTTTAACCGGGGCCGTGGTGGGTATAGGGTCATTTGGGAGGATTCCCGAACCGCGGGTCCGTTCAATAATACCAAATGCAGCCCAAGTAGCTGGACCCTTCTCCATAAAACACTGCTGCCGCTCAGCTCAATAATAACAATAAGATGAGAGGAGAGCGGTTAAAATCAACAAACATGTCGAAACGAAAAGAAAAGAAAAAAAAAAGGAGAAAGAGATGGATGGAGCAGGAAAAGAAAGGGTTAGAGGAAGGCGCAACCAAATTAACAGACCTTTTCCGTGGTGGAGGGACCAAATCATGAGTACAGGTTAGCAAACACTGTCTACATGTTCCTACCATCCAGACTTAGTTTATGTGTTTCTGGATGTGTTCAGGGCTCACAGAACATTAAACACAGCCTATCAGGAACAGTTCAGACCTGCATAAATCTTTAACCTGCTTTATCAACTAAAGTTAAAATAAATCCATGCAGAAAAAGACACATTCACTACTGTAAAAGAAAACATATTTCAGGAAATAGTCTGTTTTCTTGTTCTGTTTCTGCATTGATACAGCTATTTTTGCTCAAGAAAATTACATTGCAGTGAGTATGATGTGTGGAACTTTCCTTATGTTGTAGGCCTATTTGCACTGAATTCTTTGCAAAAGTGCTGTAAAATCATGTATCATTGCTGTTTATTTATTGGTAGCTGAAAAGGCCAGAGTCAGTCAWGGAGTTTGATGCCAGTCATAGAAGTGGAGAGGAGGAGGAAGGGACAGATGAGCAGGGTGAGGAGGAGCAGGAAAGAGGAGCAGGGACCACTAAAACGCAGTGCCAGGTACATGTGCAGTGTGCAGTACAGCGTTTATGATTGGTTTTTAAATACATTAACGTCCTGAGATCTGAGGATTGTACTATAAATCTAGTCTTTTTGAAACGTAAAACAGGCTTAAAATTCCACATTTTCCCTTCACCGTGTATTTTTCTTTCTTCTGACTGATCTATAAATGAGTTTTATCCAGTAATTATTCACTCTCATTAGCCCTAAACTGATTTTAATACTTTGTCCACAAATATGTACAAGGTACAAAAACAAGTAAAATCTACATCTTTATTCACAAATCCACAGAAGTCTCCCTCTGGATAAAAATCTTTCACCAMATCTTTCAGGAGAAAGTGAACATGGGTGTTTGAGGGGAAATTATCAATTTTTTTCATGTTCTTAGGTGAGAAAAAGACTAAAATGCTGTGGTCCTAAGAAGCTACTC